GATGAAAAAAATTATAGTCACTAACTTTAGGACACTTGCAATTTCATGAGTTAATTATTTAATACTATATGGTACCACTTAATACACTTTTGCCAATGCTGTATCAATTATTGCAAGAGATCTTCCAAGTAGGCCTTTTACAAGTAAAAACAAACAGAAAGTTAAAATAAATGGATCATATAAACATATAAACAAAATTCCCGAAGGTGTTGGATGACATTAATATCAGTGAGATATGTTTATGATTAGTGTTTGTTAATGTTTATGATTCATAAAGTAATGTTTTGTTAAAGGCAAGCTCAAATGTAAGTTGTATACATGTGCATGTGCGTGTGTGTGTGTGTGTGTGTGTGTGTGTGTTGCCTTAATGGATCCTCTTCTTTGCCCTTTTTAATCCATAGTTATAGCTCTGTATTAGATTTATTCACATGGACACTTGGTATTCCACATTCAACTGCCCCATGAATCAGCATAGAACTAGGAAACTCACCGTAAGCCATAATTTCAACCAAGGCACTTGTAAATGCCAATTATTGGTCACTTGGGAAACAGAGGATTATATACTTTATTCAGAAAACTGCATCTCTGTTGCTAGGTAGAAAAACCCAGGCAAATTATCTATTGCAGGTGAATCAATGCCCACCACTTCATAGTGGACAGACAGAGCACAACAAAATCTTCAGCTGTATGTGCAAAGAGCTCACAATCCCTTGCTAAGCCAATGATCCCTAAGCAAAGCAGGAAGCAGGTCTTTCACCTGAATGTTCACTGTCTGAAAAAAATTCACAGCCAAATACTTGGTATTTCAGGATAAACAACCTGAAATGAGAGGCATAGCCACACTGACCGTGAACCTGCCCCCCATATTTCAAAGTACGTAAGGTTGTATAGACCTCATGGTAATTTTTTCTCATTGTATGCTGACATCAGCTCTTCCTGCAGTTCAGCAGGCCATTATCAAGAGTGCTGTTTACACACGCTATATGGACAACCATTTAAGTACTTAGCTAATACAAACTGGAAGTATTTTAACAAGACTGGTTTCTAAAACTGTAGTTGTTTAAACATCTGTGTTATGCATTTCACTAGGAAGCAGTAATTTCCCCATTGAAATAAAGCCATCTTGAAAAAAACTATTCCAAATCAAAATAAAAAATACGGTTAGAAGCATTTTTTAGTGGAATCCATCCAAAAGCTTTGTTCTAGAGGCACTAAGGCACATTAGACTCAGAAGGGATTTTAGAATTGTCTTGTCTCAAGTTTTTCATCTGAACATCAGTTTTAGTTTTCGATATTCTTGTTCAAAATAAAACTCAAAGAAGTGGAATTCCATAGGTAACTCTGAAGAGTACATTTGCTTTATGGAGCCTCATGATCTGTGCTGTCATACAAAGACTCAGTGAAAAGACCCTGCTGTCAAGGCCTGGAGGGATAGCTTCGTGGTGTTTACCTAGTGTGCATTATCACACACAAAAAGGCTCAATTTTATTTAAAACTGTATTTCTCTAAGTTGGCTTTTTTCTTGATACTTGGGCAATATATACGAAACTTCTATATATGGACAAGGGTCTATAAACCTTTGCCTTTCTCAAATGTTGTTTTCACAAGATGGCAAAATGGCTTACTACATAAGAGAGTACATCCTGAGAAATAGCAAAAATTCTCCCAATTTTTAAATGCACATTTATTTTTTTCAATTGAGAGTATTTTAAGCCAAGTGATATACAGATTTTTAAGGAAATATGACATTTAAGCTTATCTAGTTAACAAGTAAATAATTAGGCTCAATAAAAAGTGTTTTGTGAAGCACATGACACAACTAGTTGATTTCTAGACTCTTTTATCAGCAGCGTAACACAGGAGTCATTGTAGTGATGATAGTGTGCTACAACTCAGACTAACAAATTCATGTTTATAGCTATCACTATTTAAAAAAGGATGTGATTTTCAAGGCATATTTAAGCCATTTGGTAACTTTTAATATCAACAAGGGACAAATGATTATAGAAACAAGTTCAACAAGTTTGGTGTGACTATTCCAAGGAAATGGGTTGATTTTCCTATATGTGTTTATATTTGCAACATTTTGCTTCATTTTCTGAAAAGTAGAATACACACACACACACACACACGCGCGCGAGCACACATAAAAACCCTCTGGGAGGGCCTAGATCCTGCTCCAAATGATATGATAGAATTTAAAAATCCCCCATTGAAGGCCTCACCCTCCCTGGGGAGCAGAAAGGGGATGGGATAGGAGGTTGGTGTGGGGCAAGGGAGGAGGGGCGGGAGAGAAAACTGGGATTTATGCATAAAACAAGCTTGTTTCTAATTTAAATTTAAAAAAGAAATAAAAACCTCTGAGGTTTGGGATTTATTTTTGATGGTATCAAGCCAAAGTTCTGACTCTCATTTCAATAATGGATCTACAGGCATTTGCAAGGCACAGTCATTAGTTTATCTTTAAGTAAATATTTTGATTGTCAGACAGCTTGTTGCAAACAAGGCTCTTTTCCAAGTGCTCACTCCTGATGCACCCAAGCCGGCTTGCACATCACTCATTCAATAATCTGTGCTTGTGCTCCAGTGCAAGATTGTCCTAAGGAAGTTGAATAACAGGGCAGGAATATCGTGCTTTGTGGGCTTTTCATTTACAAGGACTCCAGAATATGGGGCCTGAGTTTTCCCTCAGTTCTGTGGTCTCTGCACTCCATTACCATAAAGCTTAGGAAATGAGCGATTACACATCACCATCCCTCCCCTTGTAACTGCTATTACAGAAAATCACACACTCACAAAATAGCATTAATTGTCAGAATTAGCAACCATTTAAAAGGCAGCTGTTCTTTCACTCTTAAATAGGCTCCAAATTTCAGATTCTCCCCATGTCTTGGCTGCTCCATCTATGCCTCTTACACACATATACACCACGCAGGCACACACAATGAATCCTTAGGCAAACAATTTTTTTTAAATGATCTATATTCAAGAAAAAAAACCACCACAGAAAATCCTGTTTATTAAGCAACATTTTTCACCCTGGTATTTGCCATCACTGTTACAATGGGCTGGAAAGCTTCCAAACTAAGCAGCAGTAGGTTCCAGAGCTGCAGGTGGAGAGGCTCTGTTTTGTGTGGGCTGGGAGTGGGGGTGGGAGTGCAGTATCTCTTTAAGAGTCAACAGTAAATTAACTTGCCCATAAGAGTGAAATAATTAGCAGTTAGTAGCTTATTAAAAGGATGGCAAAGGCCAAGCTGCCATCTGGGATCTCCAGTTTCTTCTCATTGTTATTATGTCAAGATGTGCCAGTTGCATTAGCTTTCATGCCACCGCTCCTGCCCTTACTTTACATGTAAATTTTAGTGAAAGATGCAACACACTTTTAAAATCACATGTCCATCAGAAAGCATTATTAGTCTGTCTTCTTACAAAGCATATGTTCTTCTACTCCTCTGCTATTCTACTCACTTCTAAATGCCTAAGGGGGAAAAAAAAGGAAAAGCCAATGATATCAATTAGATATGGTCTTTGTGTAACAGGAAACCTGAGCTTCATCAAAAGCAAGGCCAAGCTGCCTCACAAAGGTACAACATAATTGCCACTGTTTACACACAGCAGAAACCACAATGCCTCTGTCTCTCACAGTCCATCCTTAATGAAGCTAAAGGCAGTGAGGGCCTGCAGTGGATTGTTAGGCAGGCAGATTCAGTTCTGGAGATGGAATAAATATGTACATTCAAAAAAACAGAGAGTATCATGACATAAACTCATGGAGTGACAGACACAACATGTCTCCTAGTCTGGCAAGGGTGCATATATGTATTCATAAATGTGCACGTGTATATTAGTGTATATGCATGTTTATATGTATCTTTTGAAATTTTAAGCTGTATACTTGAAAGCATGCATTTGATATACTTTATAATGTATATGCTATGCCCCCAATGAAGATAAACAACACACAAATAAAAGCTATCCCGTATGTATTCACCCGAAGCATACTCACTTTTTTGAGTCTGAGAATTTGAAGAGAGGAGAAATTGAATAACTAAAGGATTACCTAACAGTTTCCTTTAGAAATAAAAAAAACTAATATTAAAAGCTGTAGTAATGCCAGACAGTGGTGGTGCACGCCTTTAATCCCAGCACTTGGGAGGCAGAGACAGGCAGATCTCTGTGAGTTCGAGACCAGCCTGGTCTACAAGAACTAGTTCCAGGACAGCCTCCAAAGCCACAGAGAAACCCTGTCTCAAAAAACAAAACAAACAAACAAACAAGCAAAAAAGCTGTAGAGTACAAAATAGACTCTCGTTAGGTCAGTTTAATTTACAAGAGATAGTTGAAAACTGCTGTTAGCCTCTCCTCTCATAGACTCTAGCCATCAAGTTTCAGACTTGCTCCCTCAGTCCTATATACTCAGCATCTAGCAGGCCATTGGCTCTCCAAAAATACTTGTTGAGGACTCATTGGGTTCCATGAATATTTGTTGGAGGCTAAATACCTTGATTTGATAATATTGAAGGAGAGACTACCAAATTCAGATATACATCACACTGTAATGTATTATTTTTTAGTACTCCTACAAATGGAAGCTACATAGGAAAGCATATTATACCTCATAAACCTATCAATGAATTTTTGGACAAATTGTACCAATACTCAGAATCATAGACATTGCTGCCCTGAATACCTGAGAAGGGGATCATGATAGATTCAAGCTTAAGCACATCAATAAATGCTTCATGCTGGTACTATTATCAACATTTTTCTAGCAGGAAATTCTTTTGAGTTCTTTATACAAAAATATATAATAAAATAATACACTGTGATTCAACACATTCTTTACCTTCAGGCGCTATCAAAGTCAAGTTCCTATGGCTGTACATACAGACCTGCTATTGAAAGCTATATATCCCATCAGATCAACCAACTTGACTTGTTAAGCAAAAGCTCTTGCAAATAGGAAATCCATAAAATAATTTATTTTATGTATTGCCAACTGGAATTTAGCCGGGACAATCCACTGGCATAGTGTATGTTTTATTAATAGAACTATTGTTCACATTTACAGTTTTTAAATGGTCCAAAACAAAACAACTGTGTAAAAAATGTCCAAAGAAATTTTCTGAACAAGAAGATAAAGAAGTCACCCACCCTTCATATTTTAAAGCACCATTTCAAAGTCATCACTGCTGAAACACAGAACAACTAAAACCAAGCAATTTACCTTTTATGTTTCAAAGACATCCATTTTTGCACCAAAGATTTTCAAAACATTAGCAGAAAGGGGAGGGGGAACATGGAAAGTAGGCCTTTTAAAAAACAAAGCGATTTTATTCATTGTTAAGAAGACAAATCAGTGGATGAAAAACAGATGAGACAAGAGATGGAACTGTAACATTGCCTCTATTTTATTATAATTAGATATTTATAGAGCACAGATGAGTTTATTTTCATAATTAGTAGCTGGCATTGCATTTATTAATTTGCATAAATAGTTGGCTATCAAGACAGTAACTTATTTGCAGGGCTCTTGAATTCTAGCAGGGACAACAGAGAGCTCAACTCCTCTAGTCAGCTCCCTTAATGTTATTACCAGCGAAATACAGTCTATATGAAATGATGTTCAAGTTCATGGAGCTTGATTATCACCTTCCAGTTTGACCAGTGTTTGCTAGTTTAGCATTAGAAGGCCAATGATCAAATCTACATGGGGAAAACACACACTAAATAAGTAACCTCTAACATCTAAAGGCCTAGAATAGATGTTTGGCTCAACTAGTCCAGTAAGAAGAGTTCTGCAGGGAAAAAGAGAAAAGAATTGAGTATCCATGACAACCCTTATGATATACATCTCATCAGTCCTTGGCAGTTATCAAAAAATGACAACTACCTCTTTTCCTGCTCATTCTCAACAGTCTCCACACCCTCCTACACACGCCTACACCATTCCACAAAACAAACTTCACAGAACACATGAATCAAACTCTCTGATGGTAGCAGTAGGCGAATGAAGGACCTCTCAAATTGACTGCTATTGACAAAAAGAAAACTTATCATGCCAACTACTGACATCCAACAGAAAATCTTGGAGAAGTAGTTTACCCCATATCTTTCTTCTCTAGCCATAGATCAAAGCTTGTGATTCATCAGTTGACTTGACACATTTGGCAACTGCTATGTATAGTCTTTGTGTACTCACAATCATCTACAGGGAGAGAATGAAGTCAGAAGCTGATGTTTTATAAAATATACTTCCAGTATATCTTGACCCTCTAGTGATATAGAGCCCATATTCTTACACGGTAGCAATCATTTGGGGAAGAGAAGGGTCTCCTGACTCGGACAGGGTTTGAATACTGCTATTTGCCAGTTTCCACCACCACCACCTAGCACTTTCTTCCTCTTCCTAGTCCTGGCCTTTATGATAGCTATGAGGTCTCTGTGGCATCTGAGTTGGCAACTCCTGCTCCAAATTCAATTTTGAGGGACATTATTTGATCACTTGTCTCAGTATAGACAGTCTCCAAATGGACAAGAGAAAGAGAAACAGACCCAAATAGACTCTCAGTTCTTAAGCAGATGTCATGGAGCTAGAAAAAAATGCTGATTTCTAAAGAACTTCTTTGTCAGGCACTTCTGGGTAGAACCTCACTTGCCTTTGGCCACATGCTATCCAATGCTCTTTTGAATGTAGAGACTGACATTATGCATGAACCCCTGATCAGTTCCATAGATTTAACTTCACAGAGATTACTGCTCTATCACTGGGCTTTTATTGAATGACAAGATCCGAGCCATAGCTATACTTTCCTCTGACAAACATTTGCAATTAATCCAAGACCTTCCTCACTTTTAGCCTTATACAATCTGCAACCATTTCCTTCTCTGATACTTGTATATACAGTGCCAAGAGAAGACCCAGTAGAGGAGGGTAATAGAGTCAGGATGCCTTGCTTACCCCATGACCTTTAGTATTCTTTTGTTTAGTGGGTTGCAGTACTAAGGACAGGTAAAGGGTGTTAAGTATTTGAAGGAGATGATGCCACTAACAACATCACAACTGAAAAATCAAATCCCACCTATTTCTGGCCCCATATTTAACCCCAACCATTTGCTTTAGTTAAGCATTACTCAGTTCTATTGGAATCTATCGTGTACAGTTCTGAACCAAATTCTGAGCTCATGTAGTATGACTGAAAGTAGTGTCCAAGACATAGCCACTTATACTTTTCTGGGGGAATGTGATAATTGAAATGGACTACATCCTATGCGTCGTGCAAGACAGTTAGGTATAGGTAATTTATAACAGAAGCATGAAGTTTGGCAGGCCTAGGAGACAGAGCCTTAGGATATTGAGAAGAAAAGGGTATCTAAAAGCATTTTAGAAAGAAATCACAAAGAAAAACTCCCAGGAAAGGAAAAGCAATGTGGGTTGACATAAAGGACACCAGAGGCTTTGGAAGGTTGCAGGACTGGCGGAGGTCACAGTGGGGTCGGGTTATATGTAAAGCCTCAGACAGAAAACAACTTGACGATGACTCGATGAGAACCTGCCAAAAGCTTTTGAGCTGCTGAGCTACATGAGCAGATTTAATTTTAATTTTGCTTTATTTTCACTTTGGGGGAAATGATTGACAGCAAGATAAGAAGGACTTTGAATCCCTTCTTCATGCAGCACATTATTCTAAGCACATCTGGACATTAACCAATGAAAATATTTGTCTTCTGCATATTTTCAATCTATGGAGTAGGGTGGTCCAATTCCCAATAAATTGAACATAGGTTGTGAGAAAGATGCGTGGGGGGAGAGCTCAACTCTGCATGTGACACTCAAGGACAACATCAAGTAAAACAGGTATTGTAAGTGTGACTGTGGTGGGCAGAGGAACAGAGACAAGGGGCTGTCAAGAGAAAGGGAGAGCTAGCAAAGTAAGCAGGGCTGCCAGGGAAGCTGGTGGTGGCTTTGCCTGAAGCAGTACTTTTGTATCTAAGCACCAGCAAAAAGGTTTATTTAGAAAAACGGCCACAGTGGAGACAGCTCTGAGCGAGGTGGCTAATCCTGTATCCCAGGTGGTAGACAGCAGAGTTTACACAGTTCTCCATCAGTGGACTGACTGGAAGGGAAAAATCACAGGGAAACAAACTAGGAAAGGATAACGACCAAATAAGTTCTGGATGCAGGCAGAGATGCAAAAGACACTCTAGAGCCAATCCACTGACTGCCTTGGAGGGGGCACAATCAGGAAGGAGGAAGTTAGAAAGGGGTTTCTGCTGTGTGGTAAGGAAGAGTGGGCATTGGAACAGGAAACTGGTCTGTAGACAAATGTCACTAAGGTTGACTTTGGACATACTAAGGGTGACAGTACTAGGTGACATTTATATGGCTATATGTTACAGCAAATGTAAGATGGCAGACTGGAACTTAAGACCAATCAACGTCTGAGAGGCAGCTAGGAGTCAAGTACATGGAGATCATACTTAAGTCTCAGACAGGTCACATATAGTACTTGTCAGGGACGACACTAATTTTGGATTTGATTCTCATATAGAAATCACCTAACATCTCACTGAGCCTTGTTATCAATACCATTAAACACAGGAAATGTCACCACAGACCTCCAAGATGAATCATGGATATTAAGTATGATAAGGCCTACAATGCAGAGCACAATGGCTAGCACACAGGAGTGTAGCTGGTAGTGATGGCAACAGCGGTGACTTACAGAAAGAAAGTTCATATGCAAAAGTCCACAGGCACCGCAAATGCCAGTTTTAAGGGAAAGATGAAGAGTCAAGAGGACGGAGGGCATAGGAGAAGAGAAAAAGAGTACCATACGTTTTCAATAGGCTGAGTCATGGGCAGATGGGTGGTTTCATCTATAAAGAAGTCTCTGGCCACTGACCCCTTCCTTTCCCCACCTACTCATTTCCAAAGGTGTCATTCCAGCGATGGGATGAGGGTTCAAGGTGGCAGGTCTCTGAGAATAAATCCATCCAAACTCAGTACTAAAGGAGTTAGGCAACCATCCAAGCTTAAAGCGGAAAGGGCCAAAGCACTCCCAAGGCAGCTGTACAGAAAACTCAAAACTGAAATGAGAGATGACCAGTTCACTGCCCAGTTCTCAGCTGAGTGTTGTGAGTAACTCATCAGCCCTGTCTTTTGGCCATATCTTCACACTAGAATTTACTCTCCCTATTTGTGCTATTTGGCAACTTTCAAGGGAAACAGCAGTGCACTGGCCCACCAACACAGGGCAAAGTTATCCAGGAGGGGTGAAGTGGGTGGAGATAGTTATTTATAATTTATCAATTAGCTGCTCCTGTACTCCAGAACAGCTAATCCAATTTGAGGCAGGATCTCTGAGCTGAGGAATGGATAAGTGAGTTGAGCCACCCAAAGGTTCGAAGGCATGGCAACTATCTGAAGCCCACCCACTTCTCTTCCCTGATCACCTGCCAAAAGTCTGACTTTGTACACTAACATCCCTCATCACCTCTTTCTCCTCTTCCTCCTTCCGGTGTAATATGCTTTTATTTCTACATCTCTTCCATGCTTGCCTGGTTCCACCCTTCTTTGCCTATCACTTTAATGGAAATACTCCATCTCTCACAAATACAAAAATTACAGCACTGAAGAAAAAAGAATAAGAAAGAAGCACTCCAAAAATCTACAGTTAGTAAAATTAGGCAATTCTTCAATCATCTCTCCTTTCTCTTCTGTGAGTCCCAGGTGCTGATGATACCCCCAAATTCAGTTATTATGAGACACCATTTTCTATCTCCCCTGTGCCGGAAACAAATGTCACAAGAAGGATCTTAGAACACCCTACAATGGAATAAGACACATTTCTGCACAGCATGTCTACTTCCAGAGACTCTGTTCCTAATAGACACCTCATGACATCAAGGTTCAAGCTGGCTTTATAGGGAGGCAGAACCAAACCCAACACTGAACATGGGGTTTACCGAAGGGCAATCATCACCAAGGCTTTTTAATTTCTTTCCCATGCTGTTAAAAGCGGTAGCTTTTAATACACCCTATGTGTTCATCGGAATCGATGGTTCCCCTCACATACATGAACAATTCAGAATGCACATTGACAGGTTCATGGAATAACAAATAAAGTGATCTATACCTTTACTTCTACCTACAGAAAAGAAGCAGAGGATCCAGTTAAGGAGAGGAAGCATGGTGTCCACCATGGAGGCGGCAAGAGAGAGCAAGAGAAAGAGAGTGGACATCAGCACACTGCAGGCACACTAACAGGTAAAACACATGGCAAATCTCAGGACAGGCAGCACAGGAAGTTGTCCCACATCACCCTCAGGAGGCAGCACAAAGCAAATGCATGATGGGAGGCATAAGAAACAAATGCCAGAGTCAGCCAAGCTGCTTCCACTGACTTCATGTTTAAGCTCCTTCTCATTCTTTTCTTCCCACTTATATCCTTACAAACATGGCAAAGTCTGCATGCACAAGCACTGCACATCCACAGGGATATGAAATTGCACACATATAACCAACCTTAAAAAGCATGGTTAGGGAAAGTCTTTGAGAATCTCGGTTCTCTTGTGTTTTCCCAACAGTCACATGAGACATGAGGACCAGGTTGTGACATACAAGTATAAGGGATGCACACATAACACACATAACTCCCACATGTATTTGTGGACACCAACTATTAATTCTGGAGATTCAGTGGTAACCATGCAGAAGCTCCCGTCTCCCATGTGCAGGGATTAAAGGAAGGCGGTGGGGTCCTGGTGGGGAAAGGAGTGGTGGGTTTAAGATAGTCACTGTAGGGTAAGAATGGATGAGGGGAAGATGGAAAAGAATGAGAGGGCAAGGAATGAAGTCAAGGGGTTTTCTTAAGTCAAATTAAGCCTCCAATAGCAACTTAAAACCTTAGTGGCACGATCACCCAGAAGAATTCTGAACCTTTTCTTGAAGCCCCATCCAAGGAGGAATTCACAGCATCTGTGTTTTCATAATTCTTTTCTTTTCTCTTAAAGGGACACTAGCCTGGAGCATGGTTTTGGACTTCATAAATTTCAAGGCGGTGTTGGTTTTATAGAGAGCAACCAACACCATCTTGAAATTTATAAAGTCCACACTGTGGTTCCTGCTTTGGAATTCACTAAAAAAGCAGTCTTATTAATTCGGGATGTCCTCAATTGCCCACCTCCAACTGTGAAACAGTGTCTTTCAGCCCTGGATGGTTACTTGATCTGATGGCGTCTCCCTGACGACCAAACCATCTGATAGGTCAATTTGAGAGAGTAGGGGAAGAGAAATGGTTGTGTACTCTCCAAAGACCAAGAAAAAAGATCATATGTGGAACTCCTCCACAGATCCTCCCAAAGGAACATAGAGTCTGATGTATGTTTTGAAAAGAAACAGATAAGAAAAATTAAAGAACAGTCTTTTGGTGACATGGCAAGGCAGGTAGACCAATCTTGCAATCACCCCAAGGCTTGGAAGAAACACAATAGTAGCAATTGAACAGTGAAGCAAAAGACAATTTTAAGTGGGCTTAGTTCACAGATCCTGATTTGGGCTGATAATGTGGAAAAATTTCACTTAGGAGAAAAAGGCTTCATTCACAACCCACCCCATGCCTAGCTGAGCTGAATTTCCTGCATATTTGAATATTTTAGGTTGCAGATGCTGAATTTACAGATCTTTATATGCAGTTTTCTTCAGGGTGTATAATGAGTTAGAATCCTACCACGAGGACATTAGCATTTTCTTTTGGTGATTCCTTTTATTCTTTTACATAAAATTTAAAACAGTAACCCTCCCCACCACCACCACCACCAGGGCTTCCTTTGACCAGGAAGGGCAGAGTGTCATTAAGATGGCAATGGAATGGAAGGGTGGACATGAAGCAGATCTTTACCCAGAGTAAAGTTCAGGGAGAAACCCTGCTCCTTGCTCCCAAGCTGGGCCCCACCCCGGGACCTATGAGGAGCAGGAGGAAGTTAACCGCCTGGTTGCTCTGAAATTAGCTTCATTCACCCCCATTATCAACGTGTCATGCCTTGTTTCATGCTTCCCTCTTAGAAGCAGCCCAGCAGGGCCGGTGCCCTGTCTGGCCCATATGACAAATGGTGGGAGGAATGGAGAAGCTGGGAGTAGGAGGTGGGACACCACAATGCATCAGGAAAGGTGTTCCTCTGCAGCAGCAGAGTGGCCCCTGCTCCTAGTCTGGCCCATAGCAGGAGGCACAGGCAGCAAATGGCCTTCTATGGAGGAGGCTCTGAATGACCAGCCAGAGGCACAGTGACAAGCAGTTCAAGCATCTGCAGGATCACAGCACCTACCTTGTTCACTCATCATAAGGTGGGAAAGGCCTGAAGAGGGGAGAGAGAGAAGAAGAGAAAGAAGGGGGAGAGAGAAGATGGTTAAAATCCGAAATGCAAAGCAACAGTCTCTTAGTTGTTACACAGAAGGAGGTGTAGCGAGGACACTTGCACACCCTCCATAGCATGCTGCACACCCCCAACACCAGGCCCCTGCACTATGAGAGAAGGCTGGCCCTCTCCCATCTAAACAACAGGTTTCTTTTTGCTGAATAATACCAAGGGCTTATTTTTATTGTTATTCCAGGCAGTCCGTAGGATTTGTGATGGATCTACCAAGATTAGGTCTCTGGGAAAGAGACTCAAAAGTATCAGCTTAACAGTTTCTTTCTTTCAAATTACTTGCATCAGTAATACATATTCACTGCAGAAACTGGGGAAAACTCCAAAGAATAAAAAAGAAAAGAAAACATTAGTTAAAAACCTCACCATCCAGAGAGTACCATTCATTGTATTGTTCTCTACACAAGTTGGGTGATAGTGAACACATCAGCACACTTCCTACTTGCAAGGGCTGCTCGGAGTACCTCGAGCCATTTCTGTTTCATTCACTTTCACCAGTGATAACCACACTCCATCTTCCACCTCTTCTGCTCCACTAGAATGTCTTCCCTGTTCCATGAGGGAGGCCAACCCTGAACTAAGTATGTTAAAGAAGCCATACGAAGTCCCAATAAACAGCCTACAGGACCTCTGGAGAGTACTTACAGGGGACAAATTTGGTTCTTTGGGGCTCCTTAGGACAAGGGAAGCATGGACTATGATCAATCTACCAACAGAAAAGGTTTCCAACTGCAAGTAGCCAACTACACTGGCTGTTTGCTCTTGAGCTGCTTCTATTACACAAAATATTTCACAAAACCCACATCACCCCTGAGAGCCTCTACTCGAGGCAAAACTCAGGGATATAGAGGATTAATAAAGGACAAAAAACCCTCTAAAGTATGGAAATCTCTAAATGTTTTTGGAGATTACTAGAGATTTAGAAAAGTAACCAGAGGCTAAATGTAGGTCAAGAAACCGACTTTTAAAAGATCAGTGATATATTAAACACATAGGTACACGTGCCATAAATGTCATGGAGTCTATTTTTGAAACAAATTTCATTAAACTATAATCATATTTTAAAAGCTCAGGTTCTGGCATTCAGTGCTGCAGGACCAGGATTAACACTCATGGAAGGAGGAAATCATGCCAAAACAGGTGAGTCTCACAATTTGCTTTGTTCAAAAACACTTCCTATTTTTCTCTTCTGCAGGGCAAAGGAATAGAAGGAAGAGATGAAAGGAGCTTAGATTTTAGAGGAGGCACATAGAAACAAGTTTCTTCTATAGCTGATGCTTCTGGGCCAAATCCTAGGTACCAGCATCATGGTCAAGAGCACAAATGGGAAAGGATGTGGGGCAGGGGCTGGGCTCTATAGAAATGAGGGTGACAGGAACAGAGAATACATGAATACAGAGAGCTTTGTCACCTCGGAGAAGTCAGAGTAAAGATATGGAAATATATCTCAGTATAAAATAAAGTGCTTGGAAGGTTTTTTTCTGGGGTGGGGGGGACGACTGTTAAACACCTGAGACTTAAGATGTTTACAGTTTCAATGGGAGTAGAAATGAAATAGGAGATTCCACTTGATCCAAGACTGTATGTAAAATCTCCCAAATGAAGAGTAAATAGGCTGCTTGGTAGAAAACCCACCAATGGGGCTCCAACTAAAGTACTTCCCAAAGCAGATAAAGAGTGAAGATTCAGAGTCCCAACCCAAGCAAGCTAAATTAGAATCCTGGGACGGGGTGGAATGGGGGGCAAAATCTGAAATTTACATCAGTTGCTTACAGGATTCCTATACTCACAGAAAGTTGAGAGCTACCTCTTTATAGTGGCATATAAATCAAATCTTGGTAAATTAAATTGTATGATAAATACACCAAGAGGAATTGGATGTTTAATGGAACCCTGCAGTGGATATTTTTGTGAAGGGAAGAAGCCTTTTAAAATGCAAATAACCTACCACCTGTGTTTTTTAAATTTCAAATGTGTATTTATCGGGTTTTATTAGGCTACCTACATAGTTGTAGCATTATGACTCAAGTAAAATGTTCATCTTTTTGCTCTCCTAAAAACCTGAAGTAGACATATCAGGAGTGCAGCTACGGGACCCTAATGTCAAACTTTGGTGTTGAAGAGAATAAAGCAAAATAGACATGAATGCCAGGAAACAGGTCACAAGAAGAAAGGAGATCATAATATGGGCTTTTTTTTTTACTTTTTGTGAGGAGGATTTTACTTTATTCTTAAGAGATGCATATTAGCATCTTTTCTTGTACAAATCTATCCTCAAAGATAACAGAATTAAATAACCAATAATTCTGGAGTACTCTGTTCTATTCTAGAATTCTTTTTCTTTCCTTTCTGTCTCAAAACACTATTTGCCATTTAAAAATCTCAACAATAATTCAAGAAAATGGGTCATGAGTTAGGGAGTGGGGACATGGGAAGGGTTGAAGAAAGTGAAGGAAAGAAATGATGTAATTATATTTTTAATTGAAAAAAATAGCAAATAAGAAATTTCATCTCCTTCAACTGCTAATGAAAGCACCAACAAACAACAGACCAAGTTATTTCAAAATTACATATTCAAAGAATGGGATGAGGGGTGGGAATAAAAGTAAGGAAAACACAGTTTCTTTGGCCTCCCAAAATTTTAGCAGGGAAGGAATCTGTGTGTTTATCTTCACAGGCAAACGCGGATGGATGGC